CGCACACCATGACCTGTGCAGGTGCTGACGGCGACGACGATACACACATTGCGTCGGCCATTCGCATCGTGTGTATGGAGTATCTGTTTGCCGCCTGCATGCACGGACCAGAAATCAGCCTGTGGGCCCTCTTTCGCGCTCGGGTGTGTGTGTGTGTGTGTGTCTGTCTGTGTGTCTGTCTGTCTGTCTATCTATCTGTGTGTCTGTCTATCTGTCTATCTATCTGTTTGTCTGTATGTCTGTCTATCTGTCTGTCTGTCTGTGTGTCTGTCTGTGTGTCTGTGTGTCTGTCTGTCTATCTATCTGTGTGTCTGTCTATCTGTCTATCTATCTGTTTGTCTGTATGTCTGTCTATCTGTCTGTCTGTCTGTCTGTCTCTGTCTCTCTCTCCCTCTGATGCTTGATCTCGAGCATCCATACCTTGATTGACTCAGTAGCACGCTTACGCATGGTGATTGCACCACCACCTTCTTCTTGTCTCACTTGACATGCTCTTGCAGCCGGGCTGCCGTGCGCGTGCCCATGTGCCGGGTGCACATCACCTCTTCGTTGGCTGCGTGTCTCCACTCGTCGGTGTTGTGTTCCAGCGCAATGACGATTGCGTCGGCATTTGTCTCTATTCCGCTGAGCCATCGGAGCTGCACCCCTTTGCCACCCTCACCCTCGACCCCTGTACTCTTGCTTCACCCTGGCCAGCGTGGGCCCCACAGGTCTGCTCACCGGTACCATGCGGCATGTGTATGTGCATGTGTATGTGTATGTGTATGTGTATGTGTATGTGTATGTGTATGTGTATGTGTATGTGTATGTGTATGTGTATGTGTATGTGTATGTGTGTGTGTGCGTGCGTGTATGTGTGTGTGTATCTGCGTCCCTGCACGTGCGTGGGCGCATCTGCTCGTCAGTATGTCTGACTTGCGCGTTTCGAGTCTACCTCTGACACAAGGTACCTCCAACCACACACAACAGCAGCGCCAGCACCACACACGTGACGGCGGACAGAGCTCGTGGACGAGCACTCGCATCGACGCCGCCAACTTTGCCCGCGGTGATGCGGTTCGTGTGCCGGTGTTATTGTTTTTGTTTCTTTCGCTGTGTCGCGCGCCATTGCATCCTCCTTTGGTCCAAACTTCCCTCACTCCCCCATCCCACCCCAACACGCGCTGCTGTGAGCGAACCACGCACCATCTCACGTGCTTTGGATGTCCTGTGCTTGGCCGTTCTTCGTGTGCAGCTTTGCATTGGACTGGTGGGCTCGTCGTACTGCTGCGTATGGGATGTTGACTCCACCCACCTCATGCGGTTCGTGTGCAACAGATGGTGTGCATGATCATGGCTTGCATGCGCGCGCCCGGTTGACACATGTCGTTTGCATTGCGTGGCAGTTCCAGCTGCTGTAACCATGATCTGAGCTCATCGTTAACCATCTGCACACATGCCCGCATCGGTAACTACCTACACACATACCCGCCTTCACATCACAATACACTCACACTACATGCTGCTACATGCCACACGAACAGGGTCGTGCGGCTGCCGTGGTCGTCTCTGCCGCCTACCGTCGCTACCAACGACTCCGAATTGCTCTTTGCAGCCAAACGATCGTCACACGTCGCCGTTATGCCCCTTGCAACGGTGAGCCAACAGGGACAAGGCGGTGCTGTGAGTTTGCACGTGAGCTGGCGACGCTGTTGCTGCTAGTTGACCTCTCCGTGGAAATTTCCAACGGAGCTCCTTGATTGACATGCGAGTCATTTTCGGCACCATCTCCATGCATCAGATGACGCCATCCGTCATCAGCACGGGAAGCGCAACGCACGTCCGCATCGCCACCGCCCACCCAACAAACCCAGACCTGTTCCTCACCTTGTACGTTACGCATGCCCCAGCACTCATGCTCGTGTTGCCGCTCAATGTCCTTCCGCCAATGTCAGCACCACCACTCCCAACGCACATTCATCATCATTCCCATGCCATCAATCACCATCAATAATTACTATCAATCACTCACCACTCACCACCTCCGGCAGTTTTACTGACGGTGGCGGCGCCGTGCTGTTGGACACATCCACGTCATCGGTGATGCGCGTGCGTGCGCACGGGCTGCGCGTGTGTCCCGTGGCGGTGGCGTGGGCCGGCAGTGGCGATTGGCTCGCCCTTGCTGTGAAGCACCGCTCTGCTGCTGCTGCTGTGGATGGCACAAGCAGACAGGAGGTGCACATTCAATTGTGGTCCCTCAGCCCGGCCGACGAGGCGACGCCGCCAACACTCACACTCGAGGTCAGAGTCCTGGTGCATGTGCGCCATGCGTGTGTGTGTGTGTGTGTGTGTGTGTGTGTGTGTGTGTGTGTGTGCGTGTGTGTGTGTGTGTGTGTGTGTGTGTGTGTGTGTGTGTGTGTGTGTGTGTGTGTGTGTGTGTGTGTGTGCGGGTGTGTGTGTGTGTGTGTGTGTTGACGTGTTTACGTGTAGACGTGTCCGGGTTGCTTCATTGGTACTCGTGCTCTTTCGATAACTCACTCCCTCACTCACCCACTCACTCACACGCTCCCTCACTCCCTCACTCCCTCACTCACACGCTCCCTCACCCACAACTTGTGCATCGCGTCCCTCTGCCCCCTCGTTTGCCGCTACAGACTTCGGCTGCATCCGGCGTGCGTGTGGATGAGGCGACAGCGGTGTCGCTGGACTTGACGTACGACGGACGCCTGGCCGTCATGATGGCTGGCGGAACTGTTGCACTGTTCGTCATGAACGCTGGGCCCACTGCACCCATCACTGCTGCGCGGAAGACGCCACCGTCAAGCCCTTCCATGAAGCAGCCACCGCTTCTTAGCTCCCCAGACCTCGAACGCGTTCTCTGATTGGCTGATGGTGTTCATTTGTTCGTTCATTCATTCATTCATTAGTTTGCTCGATCATTCGTTGTATTTCATGATGACCTCACGCTCGGGTTTCCCTGCACGTATATATGAACGATATATTCACGTCATGATAACAAGCAAGAAGGTAGTTCAATTAAACCGAATCATCACAGCTCATACCACGGCTTGCTCGTACTCTGCTTCGAGGTCTTTGGTCGAGGTTCACCGCCATCACCACCACCGTCATCATCATCATCGTCATCAGCAGCAGTCGTACCATCACCTTCACCATGCTTTTGCTTCTTGTAGTTTGTCACCACACATGTTCCACACGCCAACGACCATCCTCCGTCCGCGACAATGCACTGCCTGCGTGCGCGAATGCACAGGTGGATGGATGAAAGGGGGAATGGTAAGGATCAAGTTAGCAAAACTCAGACAGGAGAGAAGGAGAGGGAGGAGGAAGAGGGAGAGGGAGGGAGAGGAGAGAGAGGGAGAGAGAGGGAGGGGGAGAGATGAGATACACGTGCACACAACCACAGACACACAGACATAGGCACACAAACACACAGACAGACACACATACAGACACACAGACATAGGCACACAAACACACACGCACACAGACACACAGACACACCCACAGACACACAGACAGATAGACAGACATACAGACACACAGATAGATAGACAGACAGACACAGACACAGACACACAGACACAGACACACAGACACACACACACACAGACACACACAGACACACACACACACACACACACACACACACACAAACACAGACACACATTCACGCGCATGTGCACACACCCAGTGATTAGGGCAGAGGCAGGGCTGGCGAGGGAAACAATGCTGCCGGCTGCTTCCCATGCAGAGGCGACACGAGCGCGCGGGATTCGACGTCCAATCTTCCGGAACACCTGATGGGCAAAAGGGGATAAGTCAAGACGGGAAACGCAGTCGCGAGCAAGTAAACAACGTTGTCGTCGATGTTCCAACCAACTGCCACGCAGAACCGTCCACACACATGCACATACATGACACAAGACTGCCGAATGAACACACTCACCCTCCCTTCTATTCCACTTCACTCTACTCCACGACACACACACACACACACACACACACACACACACACACACACACACACACACAAACGAACAACAAACAAACAAACAAACAAACAAACGAACGAACAAACAAACAAACAAACACACACACACACACACAAAACATACACACACATGCAACCTCTGGGTCATGCGCGACGCGCTCCTTCCATGCGCCCATGGTGGCCACTGTGCCCAGCGCAATGGCGTTTGCACGCAGTCCATAGCGCCCAAAGCGCACAGACAGATCAGCCGCTATCGGCTGTAGGGCCGCCTTGGCTGCGCTGTACGCCACTTGCCCAATGCCGCTCACTGCATTCACAGAGCTGACAAAGACCACGCTCGCCACTGGCTTGTCAGCGCAGGAGGATGGGAATGCCGGCGGTTGTTCAGGCCTGATGGACTCAAGGTCAACTTGGTCGGCAGGGGCCACGGCGCCGTCCCCTGTGTTGCTTGCGTCTGCATGGTTGCTCTGCGCACCGCGCAGGAGCATTGGCATGCACGCTCGGACAGCGTTGATGGCTGTTGCGGTGTTGAGTGTGAAGTGGTCTGTGAAGCTGACCACATCTGGAAGAGTGTCTGCAGGGTCGCACTGAGTGCGGTCAACAGCACCACCAGCGCAGGTGATGAGGACGTGGATGCGACGCGAAGCCGCTCCTACTTTGCCCTCGAGGGCCTGCACAATACTCTGTTGCACGCCCACCTCGCTGCGAAGGTCCATCTGCGCGCTGGCGCACCGCTCGTCGATGAGCGCCAGAATGGCCTGGTACTGACTCGCCAGTGCTTGTCTGTCGTTTGTTGCCTTGCCTCGCTGTGCCGCCTGCGGTGCCAGCGCCGCTTGGCGCTCGCGGACCAGCGCGATGAACGCGTGCTGCGGTTGGAGGCCGTCCATGTACTCCGCAATCTCTGCCGCGAGCTTGCCACTGTCGATCGCCACCCTGTCCACGCTCACCACCAGAGCAGCGCCCTCGCACAAGCATCGCCCAACACATGCGCGGCCAATGTCGCCACCACCACCCGTCACCACAGCCGTCAGCCCGTCCAGCATCCCCATCCTTGCGTCCGCGCGCGTGCGTGTGGTAGCAAGCAGTGCGCAGGTGTTGTGGTTGGTCAGTCCTGTTTGCCAGAGCAGCCAACCAGCAGTGAAGTTGTGACAATTTGTGGGCAGCGTTGCAAATATTCAGCAAACAACAACCATGATGATGATGATGATGATGATGCGACCTTGTTGTTCTCTCCCTTCCACTTGGTGGCTTGTGGTGGTGGTGCTTGCTGCAGCTTGCTGCGCCGCCACCCCTACCGCTGCTGCCGTTCCTGCCGCTGCCCCTGCGGAAGCTGCTGACCCGTCTGTGGTGAACGTTGGGCAGTTTGTTGTGTCCTTGGACGAGGATGGCGTGCTCTCCGCTGTGCGCAACCCTGCGCAGATGCCAAACCCACACCTGGCCTGGCACAGCACCGGCGAGATTCTGGAGGTGGCTGCCTCCAAGATGTACCTGCACGGGCGCGACGGCATGTTTGAGACCAAGGACGACGCCGTCGTGTGCTCGTCCAACTCGTTCAAGTTCACTTCTTTAGTCGGAGGCAGCGTCGGCGCCATCGCCAAGGGCCTGCTGATGATGGGTGGTGACGGCTGCCCGTCAACCCAAGCCATTGAGGCCACTTGGAACCTGAACACGGCTGACTTCGACAGCAACTCCCTCGCCGTGTCTGTAACCTTGAACGACACGCGCATGTGCACGCAGGGCCAGGGTGTGACGTCCTGCCGCTTCACGTTGCACTCTGGCGTTCGCCCCATGGATGCGGTGTATGGGTTTGGCGTGCAATACAGCGTGTGGAACATGAAGGGCCGCGTGGTGCCCATCATCGTGTCGGAACAAGGCGTCGGCCGTGGCCTGGAGCCCCTCACCTCCCTTCTCGACCTTGTATCGTTCAAACAGGGCGGCAACTGGCACACAACGTGCGTTGTCCGAGCATGGCACTGTGCGTGTGTATGTGTGCGCTTGTGTATGTGTGTGCTTGTGTGTGCTTGCGCTTGTGTGTTTGTGTGTGCTTGTGTGCGTGTGATATCTGCTATCGTGACTTTGTGTTGCGTTGTGTTACAGCCTTCCATTCTCATTTGTCAACGCTGCTCTTGCCCGTTTTTCTTCGCAGGTATGGAGCCATCCCCTACTACATGACCAGCAACTCAACGTCGTTTTTCCTCAACCACACGGAATATTCCGTGTTTGATCTCACTGCTGCAGACACCATCGTCTCCACCGTCAGTAAACTCTTGCCCACCCCAACTCGCTTGCTTACCCACACACATGCACTCTGTGCAGCCTTCGCTTGCTTTGTATTCTTCCACACTTGCGCGTAACACCACCAATGCTCTTCTCATCCCACCAACCCTTTAAAACCTATTTGGCTGCCATGGTGCAGGTCTACGCCAACAGTCTCAACTTTGTCGTGAGCGCAGAGAACACGCCACTCGCTCTCGTCTCGGAGTTTACTTTCTTCACAGGCCGAATGCGCCCGCTCCCAGACTGGATCTTGCAGGGTTAGCGCACGTGTGTGCTTGTGTGCGCTTGTGTGTGCTCGTGCTTGTATGTGCATGTGTGAACATGTGTGCACGTGCGTACATGAGTACAAACAAGGACGCAAGGACTCAAGCTCCACACTTGCGCTGTGGCGATTGCCCCCCCCCCCAACCACCACCATCATCATCCAGGTCCGATCATCGGGTTCTATGGCGGCACGGATGCTGTGCGGGCGCTGCACTCGAACATCACTTCCCTCGGCATCATGAATGTCACAGGTTACTGGCTTCAAGATTGGACTGGTCTCAGGGTAAGCGCCAGCCAGCGTGCGCTTGCCCACCTGTTTCATGCTGCTTGTTTGTTTGGACTTTCTGCCTCTCCTCTGTCTCTGTCTCTCTTTCTCAATCACACACACAACACAACATACCCACGCACACACACACACACACACACACACACACACACACACACACACACACACACACACACACAATGCACAGGACACCATCACTGGCGAGCGGCTGTGGTGGAACTGGGAGCTGGACGATCAGGTGTGCATACGTATTGTCAAAGCAGAACAATGTTCGCTGCTTAGTACATCGCGTTTCTTTGTTTTTGTCCTTGTGTGAGTCTACTGACATGTGCACACACATGCATATGTACGCACTTATTCACACACATGCACGCACACTCATATACACGCACACACACACGCACACACACACAAATTCACACACACACACACATTCACACGCGCTGTCGTAATTGCGTCTGTCAGCTGTACCACGGGTGGTCGGAGCTCGTGTCTGATCTGGCAAAGGACGGCACACGACTCATGACGTATGTCAACCCATACCTCGCCAACACCGTGACCAAGCACAAAAAGCACTTCCATCGCGACCTGTTCAAGGAGGCGGCAGCACAGGGATTTCTCGTCAAGGTATGTGATGGTGAAGGAGCGAATCGTGCCGCGGTGGTGGTGCTGAAGGAGCGAATCGTGCCGTGGTGGTGCTGCTGCTTGTGTGGATGTGATGCGAATGCTGTGTAGATCCACACGTATCGCTTATTCCTTCGTGCAAAAATGTGTGCGTGCGCAAATGCTTGTTTACGTGCGTGAGTCATGCTCACGATCGCCATCACCACGACCAACCGCAGAACAGCAAGGGCGATCCGTACATTGATCACAGCGCGAGTCCCGACTTTACGTTTGGAACTGTCGATCTCTCAAATCCGGCAGCCGTCAACTGGTTCTCAAATGTCATCCAGCACAACATGATCGAGGCAAACGTACGCCCTTCCATCACATGTGTGCGCGTGCATGCGCGTGCATGTGTGTATCTGTGCGTGCATGTGTGGACGTGTGTCTCTGCGTCACTTTTTGTTGTGTGTGATCAGCTCAACTCATTGCAACGGTGGCGCCGTCTCATTCCACCTTGCTGTGCCACTGCACACCGGTTGTGCTCTTCCCTCTTCACCGAAACAGCACAGCGGATGGATGTCTGACTTTGGGGAGTATCTTCCCTTTGACGCCAAGTTGCACACGAGTGATCCTTCGTCCTTCCACAACGCATTTCCGCTCGCGTGGGCCGACACCAACAGACGCGCACTCGATGCAAAGAATGCGTCTGACGTAAGAAGCCCTTTACACCTCTGCGTGTCCGCGTGTCTGTGCGTTTGTGCGCGCGTGTCGTTGAATAGTTGTGCGTGTGCGCGGTTGTGTATGCGTCGCCCGTACAGTTGCGTCTGCTGACGATCGCACTGTGCTTGATTGCCGGCTGTACCACCAGGTTGTGTTCTTCTCGCGGTCCTCCACGTTTGGCAGTCCCGCTCGCTCAACGCTCTTCTGGCTGGGCGACCAACTCGTCACATTCGACAACTTCGATGGCCTGCAGACGGTACACAGTGTGTGCGTGTGTGTGTGCGTGGTTTTTGTGTGTGTGTGTGTGTGTATGCGTGCGTGCGTGCGTGTGTGTGTGTGTGTGTGTGTGTGTGTGTGTGTGTGTGTGTGTGTGGCGTGTTTTATCAATGTTTTCTGTGTGTCTGTGTGCACTGCTTTCTCAACTTGGTGGTGCTGGCGCCTTTTCCACTCAGGTCCTGATTGGTCGAATGACAGCTGGGCTCTGTGGCCATTCGCTGAGCCACGCAGATGTTGGCGGGTGAGTTGCTTCGCACGTACAAGTGGCTTGTGTTCACAAATGTGCGTGTGTGTGTTCATGTGTATGTGCGCGCATTCGTGTTTGTGTACTTTTGCTGTCATGCATTGTTCTCTCTTGAGTGTGTTGCTGACGACACGTGTGCTTGCATCCTGCCGCACGTCGCATTGCTGTTCACATTTGCAACAGCTACACGATGGTGAAGGAGCTTGGCGTCAAGTACTTGCGCTCGAAGGAGCTTCTGTATCGGTGGATGGACGTTGCCGCTGTCATCGACGTCATCTTCAGATCCCATCAAGGTGCTTGCCTTGACCTGAGTGTTGTCTGCCGCCAACCGTGGTGTTGTGGTCATTCGTGCCCTGACTGCACTCGCCAATTCGTTAGACGATGACTCACGTCCCGTGTTGCCACCGCTGTCTCGCAACACCAATGTCGAAATGCTCAGGAAATCTGCCCAAGGACAGCTGGCAGGTGTACTCGGACACGAGTGCCCTGCACTGCCTCGCTCGTGCAACGCGTCTCCATGCGCTCTTCGTCCCATATCGCAAATGTGCGTGTGCGTGTGTGTGTGTGTGTGTTTGCTTGCGACGTTGGCTCTGTCGAGTGTCTTCTCACAAGGGTACTCCGTGAACATCACGCATGTACGCCTGTTTCGACCATGCCGTGCGCACGTGTGTGTGTGTGTGTATGTGTCTTGTGGATCAGACCTGATGGATGTCGCGCATGGGTATGGATATCCGCTCGTTCGCGCTCTCTGGCTGCAGTACCCAGCAGAGCCAAAGGTGCGGCCCTGGATCAGTCACCCATTCACAGATGCATGACATGACATGGTGTAGCCACACAGGACCCATATTGACACATCTACGCGCGCAAACAAATCTACGCGCGCAAACAACTTACATCACACACACTCACACGTGCGTACTTCTCTTCAACTCTGCATGCAGGTTGCGGACATCACGACGCAGGTGATGTTGGGTGAGGATGTGCTGTTTGCGCCGGCGCTCAACGCCGACCAATCCCACGTCAACGTCACGTTTCCACCAGATGTTTGGACGCACGTGTGGAGTGGACAGGTCATCAACGCAACCCAAGTCACCACAAAGCCATTCAAGGTTCGTGGGCTTGCGTGCATTGCATACGTACATATGACTCATTTGTGGGTATCGCGCTTGCACGCGTTGTCTTGGGTGTACCCACCTTCGCTTCACGCTCACGCTCCACCATCAACCACATTACAAATTGTGCAGGCGCCACTCGGAGAACCGCCCATCTTCTTCCGCTCGAGTTCGCGGTGGCTGCAGCCTTTCATGGACGGCTTGCATCATGTCCAGTCTGTGCACTGCACCATGTAATGGACCCAACAACAGTTGACACTGCTGTCTCCGCTGTTCAAGACGTCGTTGCTGCTGCTGTTTGGGCTGCTGTTGCAGGTGCCGTTGTCTGCAACCCCTCCTCACCACTTCCATCTCAATTTTATTGCGGCTGCTGGCCCTGTTCAAGTGAGTTGTTTATGTCTCAAGCAAAAGCCGCAAGCAGCAAACGACCCACAGAAGAATTGCAATACATTACGCACCAACCAAACGAGTAAAGTCATCAGGCACACAGGACAATGCTGTCATAAGCACGAATCTACACAATCACAACATCGTCACTGAACATCACATGCGAGTGACTCCCAGCACTCGCCCTTCCAGAACCACAATCGTCCTCATCATCCTGCTGCTGCTGCTGCTGCTGCTGCTGTTGTTGTTGTTGTTGTTGTTGTTGTTGTTGTTGTTGTTGTTGTTGTTGTTGTTGTTGTTGTTGTTGTTGTTGTGGTTCTTCACCATCAACGTCATAGCCATGTGCCTCCAGCACCTCACCCTCCGCCATTGCAGCATCTTCCTCCCTCACGCCAGACGTGATGGGTGACGACTGCGTGTGTCGCAAGCGATCGCGGCCTCTCTTCGCATGCTGCCAGTCATCACCATCGTCGTCATCGTCGTGGTCGTCATCACCATGCCGAGCATCACCACGCCGCACCAACCCATCCTGCTCTCCACCCCGCTCCTGCACCGCGGGCATCATGGGCGCCGACTGGCGTCTTCTCGGCCCCATTGCGTCCATCGACATCGCCCGCACCAGCGCCGCCCGCCGCAAATCGCCATCATCGCGCACGTGTGTGTGTGAAAGTGACATCGTCGACTTATTGAAGTCGTTCCGGTCGTGGTCGTCGTCGTACTGGGACGCGGCGTCGTCGCTGTCATCCTCCTCGTAGCCCGCCTCAAGCGCACCTGACATCATTGAGTAAGTGTGTGAACGTAAGTGCATGTGTACGCGTGAGCGTGTGTGTGTGTGTGTGCGTGTACATGGTGTACGCAGTGTATGCATGTGGAGTGTTGGCAGGTGCTGTGATCTGCAAAACACGCAACAACATCCAGACAACCAGAGCGTGTGTTCAACTCACGTTCGAGCAATTGATGCGCATCTGTGCTGTCGTGCATGCGCGTGTATGGGTCGTTGACGCGGCTTGCCTCTGCGCTTGTGCTCTGCAGCAGCGACATGTTGTTGACAGAGTACGTCCGATGGGCCTGCTGTAATGCAGGTTCACACAAAAATGAAAAAAAAAAAAACATGAAATGACGTGAATACGATGGGGTGTTCACAACCCGGGGGGGGAGTATGAGCAGTTCGTGTGTGGGAGCATGAGGACTCACTCGTTTGCGTGGCTCGCGGTCAGACTTCATGGCAAATCTGTCAATGCAGCAAGCGCAGTATTAGTCACAGCACACTGCACAGACATATACACAACCGCACACATGTTCACATGCACGCACACACACGCACGCACACACACACATGGTTCCCTTCAATCTCTGTCTCTTCCTCGAAAACCCGACCCAAATCACCAAACTGTACATGATGTGACACAGCGACTCACTTGCTGGGTCGAGCGCATGCAACAGACTTGGCCCTGAGCGTGCCGTGCGCCGGGTCGCGGCCAAACGGCAGCAGTGCGCGCATGTCCGCTGCATGCAGACACCATAACTTGCCAGCCGTGATGGATTCCACCGTGGATGTGTTTGGCGCGGCGGCAAGCACACTCTGCAGCCCGAATGTCGACCCAATTCCAAGCTGCCCAATGTCAATCTGGGAGGCGGCAGTGAAGTGTTGTTTGTTGAGTGAGTGAGTGAGTGAGTGAGTGAGTGAGTGAGTGAGTGGGTGCATGCATGTGAGTGATGAGTGAGTGTGTATGTGTGTGTATGTGCATGTGTGTATGTGTGTGTGAGTGAGTGAGTGAGTGAGTGAGTGAGTGAGTTGAATTGTGCGTTTGCGCGTGTCTGCAAGATTAAACATCCGAAGGGAGACCATTTGCATGTAGAATCAAGGCACAGCGTGGACGCACATCACACACAAGAAGGCACCTCCAGGCAACGTGCCACACCTCATCGTGGGAGTGGCTCAGCTGTGTCGTCTTCTTGAACTGACCACGCGCCACAATGTAATAGTGGTCTGCAGGCTCCCCGTTCCGCACAATCACCTCGCCAGGACGCGTCTGCGAACGCACGAACGGGGATAAAGGGTTGCGAGTGAGCATGCACATATGAGCGAGTGAGAACGCAAACGTGACACTGAACAGTGGTTCAAGTCGCACAGCCCCGCAACTCGACAGCCCACTCACCCACACACGCGCCCACGCGTGCATTTCGTCATTGCTTGCGAGCAAAACCGTACATTGCGGAGGTAGAAGAGCTGCAGCACGTCGTTGAGGCGATGCGCTGGCAGCGATGCGAACAGCGGCACCGAGCCGATAATCTTGAGACAACAACAAGTCGGGCAAATTTCATGCGTCAAGATACGCCACACGCTCGTGATGGTACAAGCACACACAACCAAGAGAACTGCACACATAACGCGCACATAACGTACACATAACAACGCACACACACACACACACGCGCGCGCACGCACGCGCACACGCACGCACACACACACACACACACACACACACACACACGCACACGCATACACACAATGCACACACGCGCACATAACGTACACATAACGTACACATAACGCACACACACGCACACACACGCATACACACAATGCACACACACGCATACACACAATGCACGCATGTGCGCAGCAGCCAGTTCATGGTGCACCTCTGCGACGAAATGACGTGACGTGGAGTAGAGATTGGCAGAATGCATGCGCGCCATCAGGGATTTTCCTGTCACGTGAAGTACGCACACACGTACACACGCGTCAAACGTCATCAGGCACAGCGAGCGAAAGCGAAACAAAACACCATATGCAGACGCGTCGAAGGCAAGGCAAAGAGAGTGCGGGTTTTGATATCCATCAACGCTTACTCTGCCGGCTTTTGAAGAGAGACTGTTGCGCGTGGGCATTCCTGTAACAGTCAAGCAAGACAAAAACGTGGAAGTCATGGTAATGAGGAGGGGGGGGGGATGGCAAACCACAGTACATGTGTATCTCAACCATCCCACCACAAACATTTTTTTGCGCGTGACCATTGCTGCGTGCTCACCGCAAGGTCATGGGTGCGGGGCCAGCGAAAGACCCAAAGCGCGCCTGGAACCGCTCCGCTGTTGATGACACGAGCATACAACGACAACAATGTTAGTTGGCGTGTTAGCGTTCGGTGCAACACTACCACCGTCAAGATCCGTCGTAGAAGAGCAGCCACAAGGTGACAAACGAGGTAACCAACAAGGTAACAATAACAAACAAATAAACAAACAAACAAAGCAAGCACACACACACAATAACAAACAAATAAACAACCAAGCACACACACACACAAACAAACAAAGCAAGCACACACACACAAACAAACAAACAAACAAACAAACAAACAAACAAACAACAAACGACGTGCACGCACCGAGAGTGCCAAATCGAGTCATGCGATGATGCTTGCGGTACACCTGAACGAACAACACGAACGCGTGTGTGAGCAGTCACAGGCGTCACAAAACCAGTGTCATCAACGAAAGCGAACGTCACGCATTTGCTCAGCACGATGATGTTCATTGCACCGTCACTTTTACATTTCCTTCACCCTTCCTCCCCTCGCCCACTACCATCGACATTACCTTCTTCCTCCTGCGGCGGCTGCGCGTCGGCGCTGGTGCAGACGGGTGGCGTCTTCCCTGCTGGCGGCGGTGCGACTGGCGAGGCGTTGATGACGACGGGAGCGGCGACGGGCCGTGCTCAACCCGCTCCCCGTGACTTTCCGGCACGAACACCTGCAGTGCCCCCGTACTATCTGCACCAGCTTGCCCGTGCACCGCTTCGCCATGCTTCACTGCCACTTCTGGTCGCCTGCCTTCCTCCATGGCTTGGACGGTCTCCTCTTCTTCCTTTAGCTCCCCCAAGGGTCCTGTTTCGTCCTGTGAAATGTCTTCAATGCCGGACGAGGATTCCTCCAGCTCCTCATCGGACTCCTCCGCCTCTTCCGCCTCCTCATCCAGCTGATTCACCAGCGCGAATACCTCCAGCCACCGCAGCAGCAGACTGTTCATGTACACATGCGTATGTTCGCGCGCGCGTGTGTGTGATGTGATGTGAGGGGGCGTGACTGAATGGCAATGTGCAATGAGTCGCATGTGTGCAAATGCAACGCGAGGATTCATGGCGCCGGCACAGCACGTGTTGAATACCTGAAGCAGACGAGGGCGATCATGATGCTGACGGGTGCGACGTTGCCTTGAGGAACCGCTTCGCTATACTCAATCGCCTGATGCACACACGGCCGCACAAACGCACGCACAACGCAACAGAGCAAATGTGGTGAATGTAATGACAACCGGGCGCGACACATGCACGCGATCTACGACATGGCATGGGGCCTCAAGGGTGGCGGGTGTGCACTGCGCACCTTCTTGTAGTAGATGCGGTTGAAGTCTGTGATGTAAATGGTGTGATTTGCAGCATACGCAAGCGCCTCCTGCAGCACAGCTGTGTACACGCACAAGCACACGGACACACAAGGACGTGCATATGTAATTGTAAACATGCCGTGAGCAGATGTAGATATACTCATACCAGCAAATGCAAATAGCAAGCGTATCAATGCAGGCAACCCGTGAATAAGGGTGGGGCAGCAGGTGCAAGCGCGGACCTCTGAGATTGTCGCCTTTGACTTTTGGAAAGGGAACGCCGTCAGCAATGGGCGGCAGGAACAGCGCAAAGGCAGCGATGCACGGCAGCAGCAGCCAGAACAGCGTTCGCTTCATCCCGTGGCCTGCGGTGAAGGGAGGATTGTTTTGGGTGGCGTTGGGGGGGGGGGGGGGTCGAGGAACAGAAATACGCCGTGCGTGATTGAGGTGGTTGTAGCGTGCATGGCAACAATGATGATGGCACGCACGGTGCTAGCGGGGATGGATGCAGCAAGTAGAATCAGGCGCGGGTGAACGCGGCTTACCGAAGTAGGAGTGCGTGAACCACTTGTGAAGCATGCGTTGCAGGGAAAGCACGAAAATGGAACAGACGTAAGATCCGCACAGCAGCCTGGAGCGTATCAACAAGAAACCGGTGCAGGAGCATCAGAAATGTGGTGGGCCGACTTGTTACTCTGTGCATGCATTGGCCGAACATCACAAGTCCACACAGATTCACACATGTACGTAAATCTCAACACCTTCACGCCTCAGCACACACGCACGCATGTCACACGTGCACATGCAAACACAAGAGCAACCGAAAGAACATACAACAACGCAAACACGTCACTGACACCACGAAAGAGCCGCAGCTGCAGCAACAGCGAGCGCACCATGCGTATTCGCGCAAGTACTGGTGGTCATCGCTGTGGATGACAACCAGTTTCATGCCGACGCCGAGGACAAACAGGAAGAACGTCAGCGCAAGGTGCGACGTGCACCACGCCCACCCAAGCAGTAGGCTGCAAATAGTGTTTTTTTTTTTTGGGGGGGGGTTACAGGAAATTGTAGATGCAGTGGTGGTCGTGATGGTCACGGTGATGCGTGTGAGAAAGCGTGCAGTGCACTGCAAAACGACAAAAAGTCGCAGCAAGAACATGCATATCGTTGCAGCAACAGCACAAATGGCGTTCAAGCGAAGCACGGTTAAATGACAACACAACAGCGGCGCACCTGCCCTGAAGAACGTGTTTGTCGCGGCCGGACGAGGCGGGCTGCACGTGCGCGTACATCTTGAAGAGGTGATACACCAGCGTGAAGCTGAGCAGCAGCTCAAGGTAGTGGCCAGGCTGTGCAAGGGTTGAGGGTTGCGCGAATATGTGTGTGTGTGTGTGAAAGGGGGCAGGTGAGTGGTTGAAGAGGTGATGTTGCATCCAACGAGTTGGCAAACAACAGTGAAGCAAAAAGTACTTACACACACCCACTCACACAAGCGCGCACACACCCACACACACACACACACACCCACACACACACACACACAAGCCCACATACACACACACACCCACACACACCCACACACACACACACACACACACACAAGCCCACATACACGCACACACAAGCCCACACACACACACACACACACACACACACAAGCCCACACAAGCCCACATTCACACAATCACAATGATAACACGGACACCTCGCATTGGCAGTCGAGGGAAGGGAGGACGATTGAGATGAGGGATTCACCGAGAATGAGAACAACCCAGAGCATGTTGCGCTCAATCGAGTGCCAGATGTTGAGTGCAACGCGGCGCTGGGGGCTTGCTGCCACGATCACATACATGAACAGCTCCCCAGCCATTGCAGCGGCCCACAGTGCAAAGTGCTGTCGGGAAGAGGACACATGGGTGCAGTGGAGATGAAGCGTGTGCACAGGGGAGAGAAAAAGCGAGACAGCGTGGTCACGTGTGAGAAGAAAAGGCAAAACAAACCAACCGTTGCATCATAATCGTGTCGACCGTGTGTGTGGTTGCATCCAAACTATGCACAGCACAGCCTCCACCCAACATCAGACAACAATGGTCCCTCGTGCCACCGCTCACGTTTCTCAGCGGCCAACTTGGCATGGTGATTGCACACGCCAAGGACACGCTCCACACGACGGTGCAGAGGAGGAGACTGATGAGATATCCACGAGACAGCTCACGCGCGCTCCCCGCAAATCTGCCGCCGCGACAGTTAGATATGGAGACGTGAGCGGACGGCGTGGAGCGGGATAGGTTGGCAACACCAAGAGGCGCAGTCAAGGGTGAGCACAGGTGTACGCAACACACACGTGCGCGCGCACACATCACACACACACATACGGTACCTTGAGGTGAGGGCGTAGACGGCGATCATGACGAGACGACTGAAAAGGACACACACGACGAGGCCGCCGACGTGCACACGCGAGGTCTGGTCGACTTTGACCTCCTGCCCGCCCTCCCCGAGGTCAAACGGATTCAATGTCAGGTCCGCACGCGCGGACTCCGGCACAAACAGCTGAGGAGGAGGCGCGAGCGATTGTGAAAGAAGAAGAGGGTGAGGGGTGTGAGTTGGCTGGGATGGCGGTCAAGGTGGAAGTGGTTGTTGCGGTGGTGGTAGCAATGGATGCATTGGTGTGGAAGATAGAAATGCTCGCATGTACCAGTGTGCACTTGACCCTATTCGTTTCCACACACACACACACACACACACACACACACACACACACACACACACACACACACACATACACACACACACACACACACACACACACACACACAGACACAGAGACACACACCACAGGTTTCAACCCTATGCGCGTTTCGTGTTGCTCTTTGTTTCCATATGAGCGAACGTACGACTGTGGTGTCGACGACGGCGATGTGGAGGACAATGCCGAGTGTGGCGAGCATGATCATGTAGTCCAGGAACACCCACGGCGACGGCAGCGTGAACCTGTCGCGGAGCCATCACAAGGAATGGATGAGCCATACATCGTGACAATCGTCATGCACAGTATACACACAACTGTACAACCAACACGTTCACACATACACATACACACACACACACCCACACACACACACACCCACACACACACACACCCACACACACACACACACACACACACACACACACACACACACACACACACAAACGCACAAACGCGCGTGCGAACATTCACAGAGTACGACGCAGCCCGGAATTGCATGCCTGCTGTAGATCATGGTGACGTGGAACCAGGTGGTCCAGAGAATGGCGAACAGAAAAAAACAGTCTGCAATGCGGCTGTACGACACGTTCGCAGCCATGTAGTTGCCAAGCTTGATGATGGCGGCAACTGAACAGCGTGAAAGATGTGCGTGTGCAAGCAAGCAAGCAAGCAAACAGGCAAGCAGGCAAACAGGCAAACAGGTGAGCGCGAAGTGTGGGGAAGTCAATGCAGCATGCCCTCCCCCCCCATACACATACTCTCTCTCTCTCTCACTGCAAGCAGAGAGGTATGTGCAGCAAGATAAACAAGCAGACAACGCTGGGGCCACTGGAGAAGAGCAAGAAAAGCGAGCACAGGGAGAGGACGGACCGTAGATGAGGTCGTAGAACAGCTCATCTTTGACTTCGCGCTCCTCAACCTCGTCCAAGTTGTCCAGCGTGTACGGCTGCAGGATTGAAGATGGGCGGTCATAGGGACTGTCAGCACACATGGCGATGATGACACAAAAGCACGACTGCTGCACATACACACACGCACACGCACACGCGCACACACATATACACACAAACACACAAACAAAGAAACAAAGCAAAGATCGTGCACCATGGACTCACTGCATGGAGAGAGGGCGTTGGGATCTTGAGGCCGCAGAGGATGAGAGGATGGTCCTGGCTGTCTTTGTGGCGATCGAGCCAGTCCTTGGACAGGGTTTGCATCCACTCTGAACACAGAACACACAAACGTGACCAAAGACGTGAGAGCGGGGCACAGCAACAGTATCGTTACGATACACTGTTGGGCACGCGCATGCACCCCGGCCCGTCAACACGCTCACACGCATGCAAAAATGACAACAAACTCACTGCGCGCGGCGAATCTCGACCTGACCGCCTGGTCGTCGTGGTGTACTGCACCTCCACCTCCTTCGTGCTGCCGACAGCTTCTTCAAGTCAATGCGTTTGCGATTATTACTAGGTCTTGAACACACACACACACACACACACACACACACACACACACACACACAAAACAAAACAACACACACACACACACACAAACACACACGCGCGCGCGCGCGAGACAGACCGTAGATGAGGTCGTAGAACAGCTCATCTTTGACTTCGCGCTCCTCAACCTCGTCCAAGTTGTCCAGCGTGTACGGCTGCAGGATTGAAGATGGGCGGTCATAGGGACTGTCAGCACACATGGCGATGATGACACAAAAGCACGACTGCTGCACATACACACACGCACACGCACACGCGCACACACATATACACACAAACACACAAACAAAGAAACAAAGCAAAGATCGTGCACCATGGACTCACTGCATGGAGAGAGGGCGTTGGGATCTTGAGGCCGCAGAGGATGAGAGGATGGTCCTGGCTGTCTTTGTGGCGATCGAGCCAGTCCTTGGACAGGGTTTGCATCCACTCTGAACACAGAACACACAAACGTGACCAAAGACGTGAGAGCGGGGCACAGCAACAGTATCGTTACGATACACTGTTGGGCACGCGCATGCACCCCGGCCCGTCAACACGCTCACACGCATGCAAAAATGACAACAAACTCACTGCGCGCGGCGAATCTCGACCTGACCGCCTGGTCGTCGGTGGTGTACTGCACCTCCACCTCCTTCGTGCTGCCCGACAGCTTCTTCAAGTCAATGCCGTCGAGTGCCGCCGCAATCGACCCCCGATATGACGATGGCCCACGTCCCGGCTCGTGCACATGTCCACCCCCACCGCCGCTGCCGCCGTGCTTGGCGTGGTGGTACTGTGCGTGCTTGACGCGACCAAAGCTGTCGATGCTGTGGCGGTGGCGGCGGTCCCGGCTGCGTCCACGCGAGGGAACAGGGGTTGCCCCCGCAGGATGCACCAGCATGTATTGGTGGTGGTCGTGGCTGCCGCGTCGCTGGTTGTCGTACACCACGGGGCGGTGTTGGTGATGGTGGGGGTGATCGTGGTGGTAGGGATGTGGGGTGGTGCTAATGCTGTGCGTAGAGGGCCGATGTTCGTGGCCGTGGTGGTGACTGAAGTGCGGCTCATGATCAAACGTGTGGAACGCCGTCCGTCCTTCCTCGCTCACAGATCGGTGGCGGCGAGGCATGATGGTGTGTCGTGCAACGCTCACGCCAGGTGACACCGCCGCAACAATGTCCTGTGCGCTCACGCTCGCCACGTTGCTTAGTGTTCCTGCGCTTGAGCTCACGGCCATGCTGTGCTTGCAGTTGTCATCATGTGAGGCCACGGTCTTCGCGGTTGCCCCGTTCATGTGCCCACCATTGGTGTGGCCCTGCTTTGTGCTGACAACTTCTCGGCTGTCACCATGCTGCTGCCGATTATCATTCTTGTTATTGCTGTTACCGTTACCGTTACCGTTGTTGTTGTGGTTGTCGCTGCTGTCGTTGTTGGTGTCAGTGCCGTTGTTGCTGCTGTGCTGCTTGGCTTCCAGAGCACCGCGCCACGCGTTCAGCTCAATCCCTTGTACGTGCGAACTGCCGCTTTCCCGCGTGACGAGCGCAGGGTTGGTCACACCGCTGTCATACTCTCCCGGATACAGGTGGCTTGGGTCGAAGCCTCTGTTCGTGCCGGCTGCCACAACATGCGTTGCTGGGGTGGCGGCGCCCGTGGACGAGTGGGCACGCGGTGGCGATAAATGCGCACCGCCTCTCTTCCCACCAACGTTGAACCACATCCCGCGCAGCTCGTCGTTGCTACCGTCGCCCTCGTCATCGGTGTCGTTGCCGCTTGCGCCGCCAACCGGCATGTCCTCGTCCTGCTCCACAACCGCAGGCAGCGTCACGGCACTGCCGAAACGACTCACACGCCGCGAACGAGCAGCGTGGTGTGCATGATACGGGTGATGATGGTGGTGGTGGTGGCCGTGTTCATGATATGGGTGATGGTGGCCGTGTTGCATGCTGGTGGTGACGTTGCGGTCGCCCTCGGGGTGTGCGGCGGGTCTGTCGTGGTTATTGGCCGGCATTGCCTGGTCCGGATGCCCCACAGTCGCTGGTAAGGAAGACTGGGCCACCCTGCTCGCATCGTGGTGCCCGTGCTGATGGTGGTCGTGGTGCCGGCGCGTGTGTGCATGCGTGCTTGTGGTGAGGTTCCTTGCGCGCTCGTGGCTGTGCATCACATCCGTGTCGCTCTCCTGCGCCGCCCACATGCGCCGACGCGCCGCGCGATACGCGTTTGAACTGCGCATGTCATCCTCGCTCGAGTCTGTTCGCGGCATCATTGCGTCCGGCACGTGCACCTGCCCCTCTGTTGCCTGAAGCTCTTCGCTCACGGACGCGGCCTGGGCCCCGCGCACCCGGTTGGCTGGATCGTTGTTGTAGTGGTGCACGTTGAACTCGTCGCGTCGACGCTGCTGGTGGTGTCCATGGGCGTTGGCGTTGGCGTTGGCGGGTGCAGTGCTGGTGGCGTTGCCACCGCCGTTACCATCGCTGCCGCCATAGGCACGCGCATTGCGGCTGGTGTGACGCTCGTGAGCGGCGGGTGGCGACGCTGAGTGCGCCCGGCCGACCTGGAGGTACTCCCCATAGCCGTGGTCGTCGTCGTCGTCGTCAACCTCGCTGCTCTCGTCGGTGGGCATGGACGCGTCGCTGCCAAGAGAGGAAGGCGGCTTCTTCGCCACGATGCGACGGTCGCCGCCAAGCACATCCTTGGAACGGTCGGTGTGGCGGGCGCCCAGATTCACCTCATCTTCTTCATCGTACTCCTCGTCGTCATCCTCATCATCCTCAAGGTCGTCATCACCCTCCTCCTCATCGTCGTCGTCGTCGTCAAAGCCGTTGTTCTCGTCGTCATCATCGCCGTCGTCGTCGTCGTCAAAGCCGTTGGCATCGTCGTCACCGACATCCCCGCCATCATCGAAGCAGTTGTCATCATCGAAGCAGTTGTCGTCTTCATCTGTGCTGTCCACGAGCACGTGCACGTTTGGAATGAGTGGGGAGTGTGAGAGCGGTGGGGTTGGCGGAGGCGTCTTTGTGGATGCGAGGCGCACGCGACGGCCACGGCTGCGGCTACGGTTGCTGCCTGTGCTTGTATACCCGCCCGCGCTGTGGTTGCTATGAGTTATGCTGGTCAGGCGTGATGGGCGTGCGACGCTGCTGGCTGCATGGTTACTGGCGTGCTTCTCGTGCATGCGGGCATGTCGGCGTTTGCGCCTTTGAACCTGCCCCCGCTCCTGTTCACGGTCACTACTGCTGCGTTCGTCGTGGCTGCTGCCAACATTGTCGCTGCTGCCACCGTGGTTGCCGTTGGGGTGGTTGCTGCCGTGGCTGCCATGACTTCCGTGGCTGTTGCTGCTTGCTTGTTGCGCATCTTTCCCATTCTCACCGCCGGCAACGCCGCTTCCCACCTCTCCGTGACGCCAGGAGCGCCACATGGGACGTCAGGCGTGCTACCGATACGCGTGCTGCTGGCGTGCCACCACCGCAGTCTATGGTTGAGCGGAGGCCTAGTGTGCGTGAGTGTTGCTGTGTGGATGCTGTGCGTGTGTATATGTGTACGTGTGTGGATGCTGTGCGTGTAGTTGTCGGTGCGGCGTGTGGTGGTTGGTTGGCTGGAGTGTGTTGTGCTGAATGGTTTGTTGGAGTCGTTACTCGCTCGCTCGTCTTCTTTGCCGTTCTGTGATCGTCGTGGTAAAATCGGATTTGCCAACCAGGAAATGTATTTTACCAACACATACGGGAAGCACTCAGGTTGGTTTGTGCATGTGTGTGTGTGTGTGTGTGTGTGTGTGTGTGTGTGTGTGTGTGTGTGTGTGTGTGTGTGTGTGTGTGTGTGTGTGTGTGTGTGTGTGTGTGTGTGTGTGTGTGTGTGTGTGTGTGTGTGTATGTGTGTGTGTATCCTTTCTCTCGTGCCCTTGCACTAACTCCACACTAACCAACCTCCACCCCTTCTTTACTCACTCACACACACTCTCTCACGCCCATCCTACCTTTTTGTTTTTTCCGGCTTGCTTCCATCCAACCCACATGTAAACGTGGCAGGACACACGGCTGCAATGAGTTTGGCAAAGACGGCTGCGCAAGCGGCAAAGCGCGTGATCGCGGCGTCCAAACCAACAAAGATCAACGGACGCTGGCGCCAGCCTGAACTCTCCGGCCGATCGCTCGCCAAAGCACGAAAGGAGTGGGAAGCAACATTCACAGAACCCTGGCCTCTGCAAAAGGTGTTCACGTGTACGTGTATGTGTGCGCGTGCATGTGCGTGTGTGTGAACATGTGCGTGAGTGTACAAATGCGTGTGCGTGATGTGTGTGTGTGTACGTGTGAGTGTACAAATGTGTGCGAGATGTGTGTGTGTGTGCGTGTACATGTGAGTGTACAAATGTGTGTGTGAGTGTGCTCATGTGTGCGCGTGCATGTGACCATCTGCGTGTGAAAGGGCTTGGGGCTGCTGCCGTTGTACTCCTGCTGCAATTGTCATGCTTCCCTGCTCACTAATATGGGTTCTTGTCGTGACAGGAGCGTGGGCAACCGAACCAAAAGCCAAAGGGCCACAAGCACGAACGACTCAAAGCAGAACGGTGAGGGCTTGAACACACACACGCACACACACACACACACACACACATTTGTTTCATTACAATTTAGAATGTTAATGATTGTTTTTTTTTTTTATTTCTATTTATCTCTAATCTCCCCGAACAATTAAAAAATATACGATGTGG